TAGGTCTAATACCTTAATATAACATTGATTTAATAATGCCAACGATAAGTCAGATAAGTGAAAAATTGTTCATTTTAATGAATAATAAGTCATTCTGAACTACCTATTGTTATTACTCACTTAGTATATAGGTACGTATTTAAATTTAAAAAAAATATATAGAAATAGACGGAAATGAACTGGTTTCTTTATGTTAGAACTATTTTTCATAAAATGCGATTGTAGAAAAAATTATGTGTGGATTACGAGCGAAAAGTGTCTTTGTCAATCTCAATATATTGACGCGCTCCACCTTGCGTTGCGCATAAACGATATTTTTCTATCGGCAAAGTACCACTTTGTACTCTTAATACACCAATAACTATTTCCGACAGGCTCCGTGCCAGAGTTGAAATTTTATTTAAAGATTAGACTCATCTTGAGTCTCAAAAATATAAAAAACCAACTTTTTATGTGAATATATTTAAGTAGTGGAGTAAAACAGTAGGTAATCTGACCCAAGATTGACATTTGTATAAATCTTCTTTTTTACATTTTGTAAGATATTTCTTCCATTTACATGTATTCCTTATAAGCAATTATCCTATCTGAAGAAAGAAAAATAATTGACAGGCGCATCGTTTTATTTCAGTTCTTTACATGAATGATGTTGGGTTGATATCGCTTTGGTTTCATTAAGTCTGCCTGGGTCTTCTTTTTCTCAAGATAATCAACTTGAATAGAGACATGTATCGCTACTACATCAAGAGCAATTAATAAATGCACAATTTGTTGAAGAAATACCTTTGAAAATTTTTCAACAGTGCTGCATGTTGCAGATAGTGCAAACTTTTTGAAATAAAATGAACCTATATGCTTTTAAATGTACTTTAACTGAAAAAGTATTCTCCACATATATCGTTTAGCGTTTGGCGATAGAACCCTAGTAACTTTTTACCTGGGACAGATAAAGTGCCGCGATAAGGTAACCCATTCAAATAAGTTATAAGGGAGTTAGTATTTGATTCAGCTCGAAATTTTATTTATTCCTGCACCAGAAGCTAATTGGTATTCAAAAGATAAAATCTACCAAAATGCGATATCCTCAAAGGGTTGCATCTTGGTATTATTCATTACTATTTTGAAGAAATGTATACATGAGTTTACTAACTAAAATCCAGTAGGGATATAGGGAATGGAATATTACGCAAATTCTGTAAGCTTAATTTTCCTTGATAATATTTTATCCTTCCCATACAAAGTATCTAATAAAGGAACATCTCCAAACAAATACATTAAGGAAAAACAAAGTGCTCATACCAATTCAAATATTGAGATGAGCTGAAATGTTATCTATTCCTCACATTTAATAGGAACAAGAAAGAAGCAGGTGACGTCTGGATGCATGCAGTTATGTGTGGCATGCCGAGCTCAGCTTCAGAAAGCCACCAAGCCACCAAGCAACCAGCATTAATAGAATTCAAAACTTCGACTAAATCCTTTAGGAATCTTCAGGATTTGATGATTAAGTATACCTATACGTTTCATGTTTTCTTGAATTATTGCGAAAAAGGTAAGTGAAAGCAGAGTGGATCTATAACTAATAGAGAAAGAGGGAAAAATATCACGGTTTGTGTTGATGTGTGAGCGTAAGTGGTCCATTTCCCTCAGCTCTATTTATTCACACAGGTTGTAATACCATGTGTACTGGAATTGTTGGATTTACATTCAGTTTCCAGTGCCCGAAGCGATCAGTCAAGTCGAGCTAGATGCCAGAAGTTACCAGTAGCAAATAATCTGTATGCACGTAGGAACTTTCAAAAAATCCGACCTGTGTCACATACATCTCTTCAAAACAGACCCCCCCCATCACGGAAAAAAATCAAATCTACATTCAAGAATATTCATAAACTTGAAATTTTACACTGGTTCTAAGAATAATATTATTGCCATGAGTGTAACAAATACTTGAAGTCATAATTGTAAGTAATCTTGATTTCAGCTCATTTTTATAGGTACTTAAAGTCAGTGTTTTAAGACTTTAAATAAGTATATTATTCTCGGCGCGAGAGTAGCAGCAAATTTCCAAGAATTACTATTCTCATATTTATATTAAGAAGGCGTCTCCATTTATCTACAATAGCAACCGAACCGCCAACAAAAAACAGTCTGCTGCAGTATGCGTTTCAGAAAACAGAAAAACGATCATTTTAAAGTTTATAAGGCATTAGAACAAGCAATGCTGAAATTCCAACCAAACCATTGCGCCATTGTTCGCATAAACAAATACAAATTATCAATTTTCCGCCTTTTCAGAGATTTTTACTCCATTAGAAAACATTTTAGGGCAATATGCTCATATTTTTTTGTGATTATGTTGTCTTACATACAGTTCTTGTTAGCATTAAAGAAATGTTTTTTTTTATGTGTTATTTTAGTATACAAATTGTACCCACGCGTAAAGCAAAGTTAGAGTGAATGGTTATATTACGATATACAGTGTTTTTAAAATTGAACTGACAAAAAAATTATATCATTTTCAGGCGCTAGGAAATCAAGAATAAAATAGAAGCGAAAAAAGAAGCATTAAATGCATTTGAAGCACGAATGAAAATATATTGAATGGACTATAAGCATCACTTCATTAGACATTACAATACACTTGATTAGAAAATACCTTATATTTGAAGAAATACCAAACGCATTCAAAACAATAATAAAGTAAAATTAAATAAAATATTTATTACATTCACTTGAAGAATTTTTATACTTGATTCAATAATTTGCTAATCTACAAATAAGTGTAAGTGATACTCGAAACAAGATTTTATCTAGAATTGTTTCAAGTATAGTTATATTCTTGATATCAATACTATTTAAGTCTTGAACAAAGTATAACTTTTCTCAGCGTACAACAATAGGATTTTTTTTAGAAGAAGTATAACTAGACTTGCGGAATGGGGAAACTAGCATAGCGTTGAATCAAGATTAATAATCTTCAGTCTAGTTTAGATTTTTTTCCGTACATATGCGTGAACTGGGGTGGGCACGCAAAGTTTCCCAAAAGTCCGAACAGCAACCACGCCAGGGCAGCTAAAAATCCTGTCCAAACACAAATCCCTAAGATCCCCCCACCCAGCTCAGAAATGCATCCGAGTCTTATGCCAGCCAAGCATCAAACAATCAAACAGTTACCTCCCAACCAGCTTCCCCTTGAACATAACCCTATCCAGAAACGTCCCCGAAACAACGTCCTCGACACCTCCTACGACATGTGCTCAGATCATGAACCAATCTACCCGACCTCCGAACCCGAACCCATATCCCAAACAAACAACTACCCCAAATTTCGAACACATCTTGAGTGAATCCACATTCCCCGTCCCGCACTGCTCACATCCAACGACCAAGCCATGGAATCCCCTCTCCCAAGAAATTCACACCTTCTTGGAAAACACCAACACCACCGTAACCACTCGCCAAGACAATCCCTCCCCCTCCACCAAATCCGCAAACTCATTCAAAAAGGAACATACTCAAAAGGTCATAAGGCATCCTTCTATAGGACAATCGACCCAATTAAAAAGCTAGAAACCAATAGACTCACCAATTTATAAAAAGTGGCATCAAAACAATAAGAAACGATAATTGTGAAACCCTCCCTACCGACTTATCACCCCACGATAACTCGCCCCGCACAGTTCACAGCAACACGGGATTAGTGTACTCCAACAGCGAGAAGGCAAATGCATTTGCCGATACGGTGGAGGTGAAGTTTATGCTAAACAACGATCCCGGCGATGACATTGATCACGAGAAGGACATCGACAGATGATACAGAGAAATATGTAGACTGCCAATCCCCCCTGGTGAATCACTGCCATAAGTCACGATTGAAGCCGCAACATCCTACCTTTCCGTTTCGAAGCCAGAAAGCTCCAGGCTACGACACCATGAGCAACAAGTTCCTTAAAAATTTTCCAGAAAACGCCCTCATTTTCTTTCCAAAAGCCTGGAAGCAAGCAATAGTCATTGTCCTACCAGATAAAGACCACCTGTTCCCCCAATACTACAGTCCCATCTCTTTCGAAGCTTTTGGCGAGACTGTTCTCAGAAAATCTTCCCTATCTTCAAAACATCCTTCCAGAAGAGCAATTCGGCTTTCGAAATGCTCACTCAACAGACTACCAGCTGGCTAGACTGGTTGAAGATATCACTCTCGCCATCCATTGCCTCGTCTCAGCCGGGGCTTGGATAATGAGTAGGCTCTCGACCGCGTTTGGCATGTTGGACTGAAAGTCAAACTCCATGATAAATACAATATTCCCATCTCCCACACAAAATTTATCATCACCTTCCTAAATTCCAGAAAATTCCGAGTCAGAATCAACGTCCACCTCTCAAACATTAGGCCAATAGAAGCGGGGGTTCCACAATGATCCGTCCTTGCCCCACTTCTATACAACCTTTTCACATCAGACATTCTATCCAATCCACGCACTAGAATATCTCTCTTTGCAGACGATGCACATTCACCACTAACAAAAATTCTGCGGCCATCCACCGCCCACTACAAAGTCATGTTAACCAAGTTGCTGACTGGTCAAATCTTTTGAAAATCAAAACTGTTCATTTACAAACAAGTAATCAGACCATCACTGCTGCACTGACCAAAAGGAAACTCCAGGGGCCGTATTCTTGACGGCGAGAGAGGGAGCACTCCCTGGGACCTTATAGGGAACACTCCCTCGCTTGAAGTCCCCGGGAGTAATTTTTCGTATTCTTGAATGTCGAGGAGGGAACAGAATTGGAGAACTGTGGAGCACAGGGTGGCCGTGTTGTTCGTCCAATTAAAATGCAGAAAATTTTGACAGACAAGTAATTATCTTAACCCTATTGTTTTTGTTTTATCAAAATTCAGTAAATAAAAATAATCATTTTTATACGAAGTAAAAAACCTACCAAAATTTTTTAATTTTATTTATAAGTACAAAAAATTGTGCCAAATTTAAATAATTATAATGGCTAAGGCTCTTTCTTCAAAACAAAAGCAAATCTTAGTTGATTTTGTATATGATAGACCGGAAATGTACAAGGGAAAATTTACATCCACCTATACGCATGCTGTTAGCATGGTCCTGTGGAAACAAGTAGCTTCCATATTAAATGCCATCCCCGGAGGCGCAAATAAAGAGTGGACGCAGTGGCGGAAGGTAAGTTATTCATTCTATCTAACCCTTATCGATTTCAAAAGTTTGTTATTATATTAATATTTGTTTATAGACATGGGTAGACTTAAAAAAACAAGTAAAGAACAAAAAATCTAAAGAAAAACAGCATATTTATGGAACAGGAGGGGGTCCTCCATTGCCACCAACATTGGAAGATGTAGATAAAACTACTGATGAAAAAATTTTTGAGATAATTACACCAGTTGCTTTCGAAGGAAATAGGGATGTTCCAGAGCCGCAAATTGTTTTTGAGGAATTCTTAATCCCAGCCCCAGCTGATAAAAATACGGTAAGTATTTTATCCAAATGTGTTTTTGAAATTCTTCGAAGTTTGTTCTTTTGAGTTTTTTTGTTGCATTATTAATATATTTTTGAGTAAAATTTTTAAAATTTATTTTAGGCAGCTATAGATACTAACAATGTGATGGACACCGAGGATGCTACAAGAAATGCTGTTGCTATTAATACAAATCATGAAACTACCCCTAGTCGAAGCACAGGAACTAGTAAAAAAGTCACAAAATCTGGGCAAATTGGAGCATCTCTTCGAAATAACCAAAATTTTCTTGCTATCAGCGAAAAAGGTATAGACTCAACAGAGAGAGAGCAAGCTGCAAATAATGAAGCGAAACTCTGAGAACAAGGAAAATTATTATAAAGCAAAAATTGAGACTGTGAAAAGTTATTATAATAACAAAAAACATTATTATAATGAAAAAATTAAGGGTTTAAGAAGTATTTCTGAGTCAGTGAGCCAAATGGCTACTGATATAAGTAATTTACAAGAGATGTTAGGGAAAGTAAATAAACTTATGTATATTTCTCCAATATATCGTTGCCGTTGTTGACCAGCTGAAAACAAGTGACGGAGAATTTTGTTCGTCGCCAAGGAAAGATTGTTTAATTATTGTCACATTGTCAAAATCATTAATATATTCTGTAATTTTGTATTGAAAATTCAATTCAACGATCAGTTTCATTTATACAGTCCACTGTTGGAGCTAACATTTTGGTCCTATCGACACGGATACGTTATTGTTTTCTCCAGTCAATTTTTGCAGTCAAGGCAGGGAAGGGCCAAGGCGGTCATTGTTCTATCTGTTCCTATTGGCATTGGCTCAGTTAAATGGTTCAACCGGGTGACGTTGGTGTAGCACCTTAGGCCAATACAGGGAGTTCCAGTCTGGAATATTAGTCGACAAAGTGTTGTAAGTCCGTTCTATTAATTATTACAGCATAGATAATTGGCAATTCATTTGGTTTTGTGTTGTGTTTGAGATCTGGTAAGTAAGTACTGGAATCATTTATTGCGCAGTTGTTGCCTTTTATATTTTTCAGCTTTGAATATTATGGTTATTATGGCGGATTTACCGAAATTGAAATTGAAAAGAGGTACTCTGAAAGGTAATTTAACTAGAATAAAAGGGTTTCTCGATAAACTTGATTTAGAAAAGCTATCCGAATTAGACTTGATTCAAATCGAAACTCGGCTAGAAAATGTTGAACCTCTTTTATCTCAGTTTAGTGATGTCCAGACGGATATAGAGTGTCAATTGTCTTTAGATACAACAGCTGAGGGTGTTGAGGTAGATATAGATGTCATTATTGAATCTGAAAATATTGAAAGGTTTAATTTTGAAAAAGAATAGTTTTCTATTCTCAGTAGAATTAAATCAATTTTGAACAATTCAGGTGTTGACAATCAGTCAGGTAGCGCCGGTAGCGGTGGAGCATCTCGTGCTAGTAATGCTCCACAGCAAGTGAGTCAAAAACCGTCTATAAAGTTGCCTGATCTAAAATTACCTGTTTTTGATGGCTCTTATGGCAAGTGGCTCGAATTTAGAGATGCCTTTCGTGCTATTGTCCATGAGAATGTGCATTTGTCGGACGTGGAGAAGTTCTTCTATTTGAAATCTTTGCTTAGTGAAGAACCATTGCATGCAATTGCTAATTTGCAGGTTACTAATGACAATTATCCCAATGCTTGGACTATCTTGACCGATAGGTATGAAAACAATCGTCTAATTATTTATAATTATATCAAGGATTTGTTTGATTGTCCAAAAGTCACGAAAGAGTCATATACTGAGCTTAGAAAAGTTTACGATATTTTTAATAAAAATTTAAGATCTTTGAAAAGCCTTGGTCAGGAAGTTGAGCATTGGGACACACTCATTGTATTCATGCTCACAAATAAATTCGATCTCATAACTCTTCGAGAATGGGAATCCTTTCAGGTAAAAAGTAACGAACTTCCTAGCTTGGAAGACGTTAACAAATTCTTGAAGGCAAGATGCGAGTTATTGGAAGAGTTGGAATCCTCAAAAATGGAAATTAAATCAGAAAAAATTAAATGTCATTTGGCAGCTACGCCACAAAATAAATTTTCTTGTTATTTTTGTAATAAGCCATACTCCATTTATAAATGTTTCGCATTCAGGAATTTGAATGTGCAAGCTCGACTCGCAGCTATAAGTGAATTAAAATTGTGTTTGAATTGTTTTAGTTCAGAACACACAAGCAACTGTTCAAAGTCGAGCTCTTGTCGTCATTGTGGCCAGAAACATAATTCACTATTGCATTCTGAGGAGTATCCGGTGTCCCCGTCAGCTGAACCTGAGAGTGCTGTTGTGTTGAGCGCCATAACTCCTTCCACTGAATCTGGGAAAAATTATAATACAACGTTATCACTGCTAGCCACTGCTAAAATTCGAGTTCTAGGTAGGGACGGAGTGATTTACATTGTTTGAGCCTTACTTGATCCAGGATCGCAGAGCAATTTCATGTCGGAAAGTTTGGTTAACAAACTGGGTCTCCAGAAACATTGCGTTAATTTCAAAATTATTGGAGTAGGTCAAGCGTTGTCAGCTACGGCGAGTTCCAGAGTAGATGTGACTGTCATGTCAAATGTAAATAATGATTTCGAAGAAACTATTCCTTGTTTGGTCATTTCCAAAATAACTCAGAATTTGCCATCGGTGTCCTTTGACATTTCCAAATGGAATATTCCCAAAAATGTAAGTTTAGCTGACGAAGCATTCAATTCACGAGGTAACATCGACATGTTGTTAGGTAATGACGTATTCTTCAGAATACTGCTTATGAAATAAATTCGTTCTACTGGTATGTCAGTTCTTCAAAAGACTAGATTGGGCTGGATTATTGTTGGTAACTTTAATCCGTTATGTGCTTTCAATTTTCAGGACAGGGTAATGGCATGTCTTTCGTTAGAGCAGAAAATAGATCGAGACTTGACAAAATTCTGGGAACTAGAGGAATGTGACTGGAATATAAAGGTTATGTCTAAGGCCGAAGAATATTGCGAAAGTCATTTTGTCAACAACTTTTCTCGCGATTCTGAAGGTCGTTTTGTTGTCAAATTTCCATTCAAAGAAACTGTTGGTCAACTAGGTCTTTCCAGGCAAATGGCTTATAAGAGATTACTTTTTTTGGAAAAAACGCTTACACAAGGACGCATGGTTAAAGAAAGAATATGTCTCGTTTATTAATGAATACAGCGATCTTGGTCATATGACGAAAATTACAGACTTTTCGATGGATTCGAGGGATTCAAATAAGTATTTTTATCTACCACATCATGCAGTTGTCAAACAAGCCAGTTTGACAACCAAGGTCCGAGTTGTCTTTGATGCTTCAGCCCAAAGCGATACTGGGGTTTCTTTGAATGACGTGCAATATGTGGGCCCAACCATTCAAAATGATTTATTATCTATTCTTCTAAATTTTCGAATTTTTCCCTATGTGATCAATGCTGATATTGCGAAGATGTACCGACAAGTCTTGATTAATCCTTCTGAACGTGGATATCAAAGAATTTTATGGAGAAATCCTGACAATCAATCCGCCGACATTGAATGTTTTGAGCTTAACACCGTGACATACGGTTGTGCTTCTTCACCGTTTCTGGCGGTTCGAACTTTGTATCAATTGGGTCTAGAATTTAAAGATAAATATCCTGAAGCAAGCCAGGCTATAATGAAATGTTTTTATCTTGATGACTTATTGACTGGTGCGTTTTCGAAGTCCAAATTGTTGCAACTTCAACACGATATATTTTTGATTCTTAGTACCGCTGGGTTTAAGTTGCGAAAATGGCTTTCGAATCAGCCTGAGCTAATGAACCAATTTGAAGTGGATCAAGATCAATTTTCGAGTATTTTGCATCTAGGTGAGGGTCAACAGAATAAAACATTGGGTATATTTTGGAATGCTACTCAGGATTCAATTCACTATTCTATTAGGGCTTCTGATACGACGGATATAAAAATTTCGAAACGAATTATTTTGTCCATTACCAGTCAAATATTTGACCCACTGGGTTTACTGGGTCCAATTGTGGTAGTTGCAAAATTAATTCTACAATGTCTTTGGCGAGAACGGATAACGTGGGACGAACCAGTGTCACAATGTCTTAGAGAAAAATGGCTGATATTTTGTGAGGACTTAAAACTTCTCAATCAAGTAACTATTCCTCGTCATGTACTAGATAATAATTTTAAAATCTTACAAATTCATGCTTTTGCGGACGCATCGGAAAAAGCATACGGCGCTTGTGTTTACATGGTTTGTTTGACAGCTTCTGGTGAATATATTTCTTCCAATCTTATCCTTTCCAAGTCTCGTGTGGCCCCGATAAAAACGATAACTCTAGCGCGTTTAGAGCTTTGTGCAGCATATGTTGCTGCTAAATTGGTGAAAAAGGTCAAACAATCAATAGAAATTCAACTTGACAAGTATTTCTACTGGACAGATTCATCCATAGCATTATGTTGGATTCAAAGTTGCCCAAGTAGATGGAAAACTTTTGTAGCAAACCGCGTAACAAAGATTCAAAACTTGTCTAACTCTGAGGATTGGTATCATATTTGATCAGAAAACAACCCCGCGGATTGTTTATCCAGAGGAGCCTCTAGTACTTATTTACTCGAGTCAGACTTATGGTGGAAAGGACCCATATTAGTATTTTCCAGTCCCTTAAAAGAAACTCAAAAGGTTGTTGAATTAACCTCAGACATACCTGATCAGAAAGTTCTTAGTCATTCTATAGTTTTGATGGAGGTCTTTGATTTTGATTTTGTCCGATTCTCGTCTCTGCTAAAGTTACAACGAATTATTGCAATATGTTTTCGAGTTTATTTTCGTCTCAAATCTAAGACTGTCTCAGTTGGTCTCATTCAATCCGAAGAACTAAATAATGCTCTTATTTGCTTAGTAAGAATATCACAAATCCAATCGTTTCCAGAAGAATATGCTACATTACAAAGAGGCGAAACTTTATCCACTTTTAGTCAAATTTTGAGTTTAAATCCCTATTTGGATGAAGCAGGATTGATCAGAGTTGGTGGACGCATACAAAAGGCAAATATTTCAGTTGATCAAAAACATCCTATTATAGTGCATAATAAACATCCTCTTACTGTTTTGATTTTGAGACATGAACATATAGAGTTATTACATTGTGGGCCTCAACAGCTTCTATATTCAATCCGTAAAAGGTTTTGGCCAATTTCCGGTCGTCGAATTTCCCGATCAATCGTACGAAATTGTGTTGTGTGTTTTAGGGCTAAACCAGTTGCACAGCACTATCAAATGGGAAATTTGCCTGAAAGTCGAGTT